AAGGTTGGTCCTTAGGAGGGCTGCCTGCCCAGCCCGAACCTGGGCCTGTGCTGCCGCCTGCTGGCCACAGGGGACCCTTTCTGCTCCAGCGTGGCGTGGGCCATCCTCACGGGCCATCAGTAACGTTTGTCCTACTCCAAAAAAAGCAAGGTGGTCCTAAGACCACCTTGGACCTCCAAATTTGGGTCAGGGAGCAGGAGGTAAGGCTGGTACAGGTAGGCCCAGGGAAGAACTTGGCTTCTCTACATCTGCCAGCCTGAGTCAAGAAGGTGAATTGTACTTTCTACTTCACAAAATGCTTTCACTAAAAACAAAACGAAAAAAAAAATGTTTTCACTGTCTTCCATTTATTAGTGCCTATGATATAAGCACCACACACCTACTTAATAGGAGAAACTACCAGGTTTTTATTAATCCCCAAGAGGGTTACAGGTTCCATTGCATGTAGGAGATAGAGCTGGATCCCAGCCCTGGGCTATTTCTCCTGGAGGAGGCTCTGGGCCTACACAGCTCAGAGCCTGGCTGTGAGACCCAAATCAAAGCCCTCCATTTCTGTGCCTGGAACTGTCTCACACACACACACACACACACACACACACACACACACACACACACACACACTAGGCTAACAAGGCACTGTGGAGGGTCGCCTCTTCCAATCCTGACGGGCCCTGCCCAACTGGGGAAGCGAGGAGCTTCCATCACCTGCCCAACACTTTCCTCACTACCTGGCCCAGCCCTTCTTTGTGCCTGGGAGCGTGCAGTAAATTAACAAGCTGGTCTCTGAGGTATGAACAGCCTTGGGAAAAGGGGTATTAAATATGGCCACTACCACAATCACATTAGTCACACTCATTTCTGGCCTTATTAGGCTGCTGAGTGCAGGATCCACACATCAGCTGGTCTGCAGGTGCTGGTAGGGAAGGCTAATGTCTGTAGGTCTAATTGGGCTGAGTAAGAAAGAGAGCAGAAGTGTAGAGGGTGCCATGTAGCCTGGGCACCTCCACTACCTCTCACTGAGGCCTGCAAGACCCACTGGCGTGCTTCTGAGTCCCAGGCTTCAGTGTGAGAAGAGACCCTGTGGAACCCCATGTGGGTATTTCAGATCAACAATTTATTGAGCACCAACAGTGAGCAGGCTCTAGACTAGAACCCCGAGATGACTAAGACAGCCCTGCCCTGAAGTGGCTTACAGTCTCCAGAAAACCAACCAACTTCTGGCTGATTACTATACCATCGCTTAAAGCAAAAAAGGGAGTTTGGTATCGCAGAGCACCTAACCCAGCCTGGGGCTTCAGATGGTGTCTGAGTTGGTTTAGCCAGTTGGAAGAGGAAAAAGAAAAGCAGGCCAGGGAGCATACAGGAGAAGGCACAGAAGTGAGACAGCATTTGGGTGTGTGGAGTAGTAGGAGTTCAGGGCTAGGAGGCCGATGACAGGGTGAGGGAACACTGGAGAAAGCCCGTGAGGAAATGGGTTAGAAAAACTCTGCCCTGCCGGGCGCTGGTGGCTCACGCCTGTAATCCTAGCTACTCAGGAGGCTGAGATCTGAGGATCGCAGTTCAAAGCCAGCCCGGGCAAGAGAGACTGTG